TGATTGTCAATGGTTTACAAGAAACATCATTTGGTTGAAGAGAACAAGGCAAATAGGTATGCAGTGACTTTAAGGTAAGATGAATAATCGGAATGAGCCAACCTGGGTAATTTGATGACATTTGCTGTAGTAAAATTTTACTTACACGGTAAGGCTGTACTTTAGCGCATAAATCCCAAAATTCGTGTTTTTTTTTCGAAAAAAAATTAAAATCAGTAGATATGATCATTTTTTAAGCAAAATAGATGTGAAACCATCATCAGAGACTCGCATGACAAGAATACAAAAGGTACCAGGGGTCATTGCATATAAAAATACTCAAATTATGATTATTAATAGATCGTTTAGCCATTATATGGTGTTTCCAGGAAGCACCACGTGCAGGCGATCGATAATAACTCGCCAATCGCTCTAGTCAATCATCAATAATATAATAATAATAATTCACATCATTGGGAATTCGCCTTAAGTAAGGCGATTTTTGCCTTTTTCTAAAAGCATAAAACGCGAAAAATCAAATCCGTGAACGCGACAATGCCTACACCAAAAATATCCGATCCAGAACAAGCTTATCGTTGGATTATGGGGATAAGCGGCTCGGCATTCCTCTCTGGCACCTCAACCGTCCTGACACCCTCCCCGATTTTTCAATCATCCCTAGTACCCAGTGGCCTTTTCGCGCGCGACATTTGTTTTATTATATTAGCCGACTACAACTATCCCTGATTTGGCAACATTGCAACTAGATGGAGAAATTATGATAGTGATGGTGGTGTAGTGATGGGAATATTTATCAGAAATAAAGGAAATGACTACTTAACAATGATCATTAAAATGATGCAAAATTGCATTATTGTGATGAATATTGTCACAAGAAGAAAACCAGCTTATAAAGCAGTATTCTATACCACAGTATTACCACCCAAAATGCAACTTTAAAGTTCTATAAAATAACAAGCAGAGGCTTCCTCAAAAAGAAAATGATATTTTCGTACTAGTTACATCCTAACCTTCCATTTTAAAATAAGAAAAGGTATATTTGCGATATGAGCTAAAGTATAGTTCAGCCACATTTTGTAGCTAATATACGCGGGATGTCTATTAAGTTTTGCATATAGAAACATAGTAGGTCGCGCGGATCGAACGTCAGTACTGAATCTTAACCTCACTCTTTAGTAAACTTAAATTCAAAGTTGCACAACAATACGTGCAGTCTTCTCACTGCAGTGAATTTTTAAGTGTCACCAAGTCATTAGAAAAATGGAACTCAACCGAGAACATTTTCGCGCCATAATTTATTACAACTTTCAGAGACAATTTTCGCATCAAGAATGCCTTGCTGAGTTACTGTCTGTTTTCGGCAACGATGCGCCTGATCAGTCGACAATTTTCCGTTGGTATGGAGAATTCGAACGTGGATGGGTGAGTCTTAGCGACGATCCCAGGGTGGGTGCACCAAAAACGGCAGTCACCCAGGAAAACGTCGATGCTGTGCGCAAACTCATCATTGAAGGTAGACATGTGACATATCGCGAGATTGAGGCGTCCTTGAAGATCTCAAAGACCTCAATTCAAATAAATTTACATGAAGAATTATGAGTAAGAAAATTATAGAAAAGTTCCATTCCGCGCAACCACATGTGGACATCAGTTTTTATAAATCGATTGTGTATCATGCGAAAGATTCGCAAAATACATACCGCACTAACTTTCGACGCAATGCTTTCAAATAATTGGCCTTTCATATATAAAGGCAGGTCTGTTACTTTGTTAGTGCATTTGTGTAGTTTAATATGTATGTATTTATGGACTCACTGACGCAGTCGGAGGATGGGGGCCTTGGGGCATGAGGCCCACGAGAACCCTATGGCTTATTAAGTTTTTCCGTATATAATTATACTAACCTTTTGTGAACTGAAAGCCACCCCCGCTCATTAGTTGCCACAAGGGTATCCGCTCTTAGAAGCACCAGATGCCCCCATCCCTTCGCTCTTCAATTGTAACGGGGACATTCGCTTCTAGACTTTTTAATTATTGATACTATCCTCCTCTGCAAATGTCATAATAATTCAATAATCAATGATGAGTAGCTTCGCCCTAAAGCCGACCCCCCCCCCCTCCCAGAACAAAAACTTATTTCTGGATACCTCAGTGTATAAAGAAGGATGAATCCTACGGATGTGAAGAATTTCAAGTAGTTGCGTGAAATTATCATCGCATTACCAACAAGTGCCAAAACCTGCATTTTGCCTCGTCGCCCATAACATTTTTGCAATTAGTCGGGTCTCATTTTGTAGCTCTCATAAATGCCTAAAGATCTTATATAAAGACTTTTTTCGTTCCTGTCAACGCTTTCCATTGAATTCCAAAAAACGCGTTTTCTCATTCTTTGTTGTCAAATAAAAAGTTTTCCCATTAAAGTTGGCGTACCCATGCGTCCATGTTTTAAATACCCCCTTGAACAACTTGTACCAATAAAACCAGGCTTTACAGTGATTTCGGGGAAATTTGCTAATATGATTGGACTATTATAAAACAACCCTCAAGAGTAATTTTGTTAGTCATATGCTACAACATCCAGTCAGGAAGTAACTATAAATTCAGCGTATGTATTCACTGTAAGACAAAATTCAAATATAAAACACAACTGAATAATCATATAATCAAGAAATATCCTGACTTTGTTGCTTCCGTTTTTAGCTTATAAAACAAACCTCAGGAATCACTTTGTTAGTCATAATTATACTAAAAATTCAGAGACAGGAAATAACTATAAATTCAGCATGTGTATCCACAGTAAAGCAAAATTCAAAAATCAAACTGCATTGAATAATCATATAATCAGGAAACATCTTGACATTATTGCATCCATTTCTAATAAAATGCACGAATGCGGACATTGTGCGTAAAAAACAGCCAACAAGAGTCAGTTTTTGCCATATATGTGAAAACACAGATTAGGTGTTATGCGAAATTCAAAAGGTCAGGGACACTGTATAATCATATAGTCAGGAAATATCCTGAGTTTATCCGTATCTACAAATGTACATGAATACATATATAAAACATAGTATTATGTGAATATAATAAATACATGGATTTGTGTGCTTATGAAACAACCAAAAACAGTAGGGACCAATCGTATCAGCGCAGCGAGGGAACGCGAACGGAAAATTTGTGCGTTTTATACAGGGAGTGCGCAAAGTTGGGATTTTACACGGCGTATCTTGGAAAAATAACACCAAAGTCTTAAGCCAACCGAGATATTAGCCTCTACAAAATCAAACCTGAAGCAAATTTAATCCGCTTCTTTATCTCGGACAATGAAAAGTGAGAAGGCATCTTTAGGATTGTTGCAATTTTATTGAAGGTTCAAATGATTTGTATTCCTGGAATACCGTCAAATGCTTGTATTTGTAGACTGACCTTGTGCAGATGTCTAAGGGATTTGATTTTTTTTGTTTTTTATTTGCATACGGTGAAATCCATATACTATACTGACGTAAGCTGTATGAGATAATCGTTAGAAAGAGATAGAAGTACCACGTTGCCTAGCAACACGAGGTCACGGACGCGGCTGCGGCTTGCCGCGTTCCCATCGGCGTACTCTTTTTAACATACGTATTGTACGCCTCTCTCTCGTATACGACGTCAGAGGTATTTGGTTTTCAGTGTGTGGATCTCTAGTTCTGCAATACTTCAGTCAAAATCATTTCTTTTTTTTTATATATTCCAACTACCACGAAGGCCTAATGCCTAAACACCCATTGGGTACCGTGGGGCTATAGGGGGATACAGGGGAAAAGGGGAACGCCACACGGACTCTGGCGAGGGAACACGTGTGCATGTAACATGCACACATTCTGGCTCCGCCTACGAGATCCGCCGGGTGGTACCTCCACGTTCGACAGTCAGAGACCGTCTACCACCTACGGACAATCACAACATCCATAGCCAAGAGAAAAATTTCTCCTGGGACGGGACTCGAACCCGCAAAGCGCACGGTGACCGATCAGGAGACCTAAGAGTCTACTACTGCGGCCACCGCTGCTGCCCGAAGCTCTAAGTTTGTCCGGAAAGTTATTGTTTTTCTATTTTTGAGGGATAAAAAAGCACTGCCAGTCTTCGGAAATTGGATGGTCAAACATATTAATGATCGATTTATTTCTCTAGTATCTTCAAAAAGGAGTTTAATTGTGTTCATCTTAATTTTTAATAAGTTGCGTATGTGCTTGCGGGTTATCGTACGTCATCTCGTGTTTGTCCATTCCAGAAGATGGATTGCATTCGTTTTTCCAATTGAGGCAAAATTGTAACAGCAAATTCAAAATTGATATGTAGTAGTGGCAGAAAAAGAAGTTCTTTTTCTGTATCCAAACTTAGTGTTGGGTTGGAATGTAGTCGTGTTTTAGTAAATGAGAGATAGCTTTATTCAACGACTGAGCGGAACTTCCAGCAAGTACTCGACATTGTTATATTTCAGAGATATGTTGAGGACACAAGTTAAAAGGGTCTTAGAAACACAGAACACATATCAAATCAGTGTCAGCAGGGTGGTGAAACTCATATGAGCGAATGGGAAACAAAGCTGTGTTGCGGGTGCACAATATGACAACCATGTCGCCCCCTCAAAAAATGGCGGCTTATTCACAACTGACATTGTCTGATTGGTCAGATTTAAATTTCCGGCGGGTTTCGTCCTGTGATCTGTGGTCTGTGCTTTGCAAAACTTACCTTTTTCAGCAATTCATTTTCTTGACATTTAATTTTAATTTCAAATAAAGTCCCTATTATGTTATTTGAGCCATATGCATTTTGTTCGGAGTTGTGAAGTATAACAATGTAAGTACACAAAGGTGTAATACCTATTACCTATGTTTGTAAATACTATAAGACAAACTCCACATCAAAAATGTTTTTTTTTAATGTGATCCAAGTCATTAGCCAAGCTTCTGGCAAATCCTGAGGAAGATCAGAGATGCAGCGGTTACTCATTTTAGGAATGTAATATTTGAAGATCGTACCTGTTTGTATCTCCACATCACTCTTTGAACAGTGGAGAGCCACAAAAGGTCAACAGCTGCTGTTGTCAACCCCTGAGGTCCTGAGAATTATCAGAAGCTCAGGGATTACTTCTGATCTAACCAAGAGGCACAGCTCTGAAGGATATTTGCAGAACATAACATTTGTAAGTTTTTATATGACTCAATAACTAGTGATGATTTGTACTGCTTTTTGACCAAGTTCGTTTTCATACTTCGTTTTAAATTGTCAGAGCAGTAGGGTTGATATGTAAAGCTCACTATAATTTTAATGAAATCAAAGCCAAGTATTGTTATTGAACAATAGCATGGGTGCCCCCAGGGGGGCTGAGGTAACAGTTATCTCTTGATGATGATCAGCACATCTGAGAAAAATCCCTGTGGGTAGCCGTGGACAATCATATTATTGTTCTAATAAAAAAAAGAAATCTGTGAATTGTAGTACCATATCAACACAATTCAATTTTTTTCTAATTTTTTATTTATGCAGGTGCCAACGAAAGCTAGGGAATGAAAACATCTGGACCATAATGATGTCAATACTGATTTGTTTGTGGAAAAATGTATGAGATTTATATAACAAATATGTATTTAGGTATTTACAGTATATGTTTTTCTTCTGTACCTTTCCAGATTAGTAAGTAGATATGAGTGATCTTATAACAGCTTGTGTTATTGACGTTGCTATTTTAACATACAAAAAAAAGCATTTATTCGTCAAGATAGCGCAGAATGTTAACAAGACATGCTGTTATAAGATCTCCCATATCCCACCAAATTTCTATAAGTATATAAAAGTATAGCAATCTCAGATTTATGTGTAGAACTGGCGACGTTGCGGGATATTAATGCACAATCTGGCAACCATGTCACACCCTCAAAAAATGGCCGTTGACAACCATTCAAGTCACCGTGATGCCATTGATTAGCATGGAATTAAACCTTCTTCAGCGTATATGTTTTGTGAGTGTCTGTGTTCTATTCCGTGGTTTCAAATTGTTGTTTGAAAAATCAAATTCAAGCGGATAACCAAATGGAAATGGTATTTACCATTTTGGGTTGGTATTTACCAATCCGTTCAAGCGAGTGTAGTTATCAGTTTGGTTATAAGATCCGTGACGTCACGAATCAGCTGTTATATGTCATAGTTATCACCGCAAAATTGTGGTATTTACCCAACTCAAGAGTAGTTTTATATTTCTGGTTATTATTTGAAATGTGACAAGTTAGAATTTTGCCGGGTATTGGATATTGTTATTGTACTTCAGCTTCATTTTTGAGAAAAATGATACAGGCTGACTTCACTTTTACCATAAAGTGGAGCACCTTATTAGTTATACTCATTACGGTTGTTGGGGACACTTTAAATGTAGTTCCTATGCTTAACAAAGTATCCTGTGTAGCCATATACCACAAGAATATTAAAATATGGCCATATAAACTCACTAGATGATATCCATCTGTATACGGTTTTGCTAATTTCTTTTTTCATCATTTCTGCTGAATCAATAAATGTTTTCTTTGACATGTGGAAAAATTTAGAGAATTGAAAGTTATCATAGCTACAAAGCCATGGTTCCATCATTAAAAAAAAAATCTGAAAAAACATTTCTCCCATGAATATTATGAAAGGTTTGTTATTTAAACTTTCCATATACAGTTGTAGACGAAAAAGCACCGATTATTAAGTGATAATAAAAATAATCAGAGATTATATACGCGCTTTTCTAAAATAAACAACTTGCAACAAAACCGCGGTTAAAACCAACGCGTTCAAGCGATTCGTGTAACTGACGTCATCAACCCGTGTGTCATCTTGAACCATATTATAACCGCGGCACATAACACAGAAATTTTGGTTATTCGCTTGGATTTGATTTATGTGTATTGTTTTGTGGTTTCAAAGCCCTACCAAGGTACACGTGGGGTCAACTGAGGCATGACAAGGCGCAATACAGGAAATCTGGCAACGTTTTTCGTGGTGACAAAACGTCCGGCAACAAAAACAAGCCAGAAATGGACACGACAAAGGCTGGAGAATGCAAACATCTGGACCATAATGATGTTAATACTGATTTTTTTGTAGGTTTAGGCACGTATCGTCAGTCGTCCCTACAATTGTAGGGCGCGTTTATGGCCTCCTTGATTGTCATACTCCTTTCTCTCCTTCCAAAATTTCTAGATTGCACCCGTCCCGCGTCAGCGTCAGCGCTCTCCTATTGTGAAGATATATTTTCTTTTTAAATTGTAGGAAATTTCAGGCTGATAAAACATGATATAACTCAAAAGCAAGCACAATTTGATGCAAATAGCTGTTTGTGACATAACCTCAAAATAGAGCGCTGACACGGAGAAGTAGAAAACTATGACAATCAAGAAGGCCATAAAGGCGCCCTACAATTGTAGGGACGACTGACGATACGGGCCTTAGGTATTTGCAGTATAGGTTTTTCTTCTGTACCTTTCCAGATTAGTAAGTAGATAGGAGTGATCTTATAACAGCTTGTGTTATTGATGTTGCTATTTTAACATACAAAAAAATCATTTATTCGTCAAGATAGCGCAAAATGTTAATAACACGTGCTGTTATAAGATCTCCCATATCCCACCAAATTTCTACAGGGTATCCGCAAAGTTGGGGTTTTCCTTTACACGACGTGTAGATCTTGAAAACATAAGCAATTTTTCTTAGTACCATACACACCAATGTCTTAAGCGAACCGAGATAAAGGGCTCTGCAACATCAAAAATATCTGAATATCGTCCTGTAGCCGCGACATCACCGACTGGTATAAGGTCACTGGCTCAACCCGACGACAGAACTGGGTCAGGGTCAGTGTGTCAGGTCAGTATGCAACCTTCACCCGACGCTTACGGTCACGCCTGTAGAGGTAATCGCGTAGACGAGAATCCCTCAACAAGCACTAGAGACGTGGCTAGAGAAGTGCAAGTATCAAAAACTAAAGTGTGGCAAACGCTGCGTGAAGAGGGGCTGTATCCGTTTCACGTCCAACGTATACAAGCCCTTCAACCTGACGATTTTCCAGCAAGAGTGCGGTTTTGTGAGTGGTTGTTGCATCAACATGATAATAATCCGGACTTTTTGAAGTGCATATTGGTGACAGACGAATCTACGTTCACGCGTAATGGGGTGAATAACTTTCGCAACACTCATGTTTGGTCAGTAGAAAATCCGCACGCTGTCCGTCGGGCACATTTTCAACAAACATTTTCGGTGAATGTTTGGGCTAGCATGGTGAACGGTATGCTCATTGGACTATTTATTCTCCCAAATTGATTGGGCGGGATGCAATACCTAGACTTTTTACGCAACAGTTTGCCTTCCTTGTTTGCCTGCGTCTGCTCGGTAGCGCATCAGCTGATTTCATTTTCTGTTGGAGCGGTATGATTTCGGGCAGAGACGTACTTAGCCCTTCTCGTCAACTGGAGAGTGAGTACTTTTTCCTTTATTTTTTTTACTTGGTCGCCCTCGTTTCACTACACATTACCTTTCAAGGGTAGTTGTTTCTGAAAAGGAAAACCCCAACTTTGCGGACACCCTGTATATATAAAAGTATAGCAATCCCAGATTTATATGTAGAGCTGGCAACGTTGCGGGATATTAATGCACAATCTGGCATTCATGTTGCACCCTCAAAAAATGGCCGCTGACAACCATTCAAGTCACCGTGTTGCCATTGGATAGCATGTAATTTTGGAATTAAACCTTCTTCGGTGTATATGTTTTGTGAAGTTTAGTAGAAGTTAAAGGTATCAATTTTTTTTAATCGGTTCATCGTTTTTTTCTCTTTAATTAGGTATTGTATTAATCCTGTACATCTATACAAGAGTAAAGCAGAATTTTAACGCTTGAATCAGGGTTGTTAACAAACCCACCTCTTGTGTTGATCATGGACGCTGGAGACATCATGAAGATAGAAGTTGGATTCCAGGCAGTAGAAGCCGACACCAAGCTATTTGAAGTTGATAACGTCTCTTGGAAATTCCATTTTAAATGTAATGACAATGAAAACATAAAACATTCAGTTGTGGAAAGGTAAGGGATTCTAATTCATTTTCTGGAGATTTTTTATCATATATCCTATATTTAAAGGGCGCTTACTTTCAAGCAGTACTTCTGGATGTAACTTCCAGATCCAGAAATTATATTTCACATAAACATCAAACTTTAGACTGATGATGATGTAGATGAACTAGCATATCGTTTTTCCAAATTTGGCCTGCCTTCTATTTTCTTTTTGTGTCATTAAATACAAAAACACAAAGGCACAGCAAAAAGAGAAAGGATGTCATGAAAAATGATTCTCTAAATCCATTTATTTTATCAAATAAATAGTCCAAAAAAGAAAAAAAAATTAGGTGCTGTTTACCGAGAAGTATTACAAAATTGCACAGAATAAAGTAAGGTTTGGTGCAAAAATGCTATCACAGTGGTCAACCACTACAGCTAATTGTGCATCTGTCGAAACCTGTTGTCTTGTTTACTTTCCAGATACTGCTCCATGGCAATCGTACAGTGCCCTTTAGGTCAGTTAAAAAAAGTTGGGAAGCAATCTATTACAATCTTCTAAGAGAATTACTATGATTCTACTTGGAACCATGGCTATTGTGATGGAAATTGTGTGTGAACATTCAGATACAGCATAGGGTTGGATATCATCTTGGGGAAAAAAGCTGTTAATGCTATAACTCTCTATTTTACTTGCTCTTTAATCAGTTGGAAATATTTCAGGACTGCAATATGTTTGTGGATAACTAAGGAGCACAATTATGCTAAGGCTTGGATTAAAAGCGAGGCAGATGATGAACTGAAAGTTGAAAGCTGGGTTGATGATAGCGAGAAATATCCAGTTGTGGAAATTTCAGAGGAATTTATCATCAAAAGTGAGTGCAATAATGATGATACATTCTTAAGTACAAATGCAGGAACAGTTCCTAATAGGTAACTATTTTTTGTCAGTTTGTTTTTTACCTCCAAGCAACTGGTGAGGAAGTAATAATCAAATTCAAGCGGATAACCAAATGGAAATGGTATTTACCATTTTGGATTGGTATTTACCGATCCGTTCAAGCGAGTGTGGTTATCAGTTTGGTTATAAGATCCGTGACGTCATGAATCAGCTGTTATATGTCATAGTTATCACCGCAAAATTGTGGTATTTACCCAACTCCGGAGTAGTTTTATATTTCTGGTTATTATTTGACATGTGACAAGTTAGAATTTTGCCGGGTATTGGATATTTTTATTGTACTTCAGCTTCATTTTTGGGAAACTTGATACAGGCTGACTTCAGTTTTAGCATTATTTATAATCATCACTGTTGTTGGGGACACTTTAAATCTAGTTCCTACACTTAAAAAAGTATCCTGTCTAGCCATATACCAAAAGAATATTAAAATATGGCCGTATAAACTCACTGGATGATGTCCACCTGTATACGGTTTTGTTAATATCTTTTTTCATCGCTTTTTCATCATTTTTGCTAAATCACTAAATATTTTCTTTGACATGCGGAAAAGTTTAGAGAATTGAAAGTTATCATAGCTACAAAGCCATGGTTCCATCAGTAAAAATTTTTTTCGGAAAAAAAAACATTCCTCCCATTAATATTATGAAAGTTTTGTTTTTTCAACTTTCCATACCCCGTTGTAGACGAAAAAGCACCGATTATTAAGTGATAATAAAAATAATCAGAAATTATATACGCGCTTTTCTAAAATAAACATCTTGCAACAAACCGCGGTTAAAACCAACGCGTTCAAGCGATTCGAGTAACTGACGTCACCATCCCGTGTGTCATCTTGAACCATATTATAACCGCGGTACATAATACGGAAATTTTGGTTATCCGCTTGGATTTGATTACTGTTTTGCATAAAGTATCAAAAATGTCAGTTATTTTCATTGATCTGTCTGTTTACTTATCCTGGGCCCTCCTCTAATAACTTAAAAAGTGCCTGTTGGATTCTGGTGAAATTTTGAAACAAGGTTTTTCACTATAAATCTGTTTTTGTTGAGAATCTGGGGTTTCTGAGGATGATTATATTGTATTTATTTTAGAAGCAGTAGTGAATATAGTGATGATAATCGCCAAAATTTTACCCCTACTGAAGTTGATGGCAAAATAAGGGAGCTAACAGTCAAAACTGAGAGGATAGATACAGAAATTCTCAAAAATATGGAATATTCTTCTCAAAATACAGATACTCATCACTTTGATGAAAAAGCAAAAGCAGTTCTTCCATTTAAAAGGTAATTAAAGTTTGTTATTTATGTTGAGTTGATATAATATTTATGCTCATTTTTGCTTTTGAGAAAAAATTTTATTTACCTTCCTTGCACTTACATGCCACCCACTGCATAAACTAAAGTATAAAATAAAACTGGTTGATGCTATACTTTCACCAAAAAAAACTATATTAAATGATATTTTATTCAATTTGTGGATAGTTTATATAAGATATGCGTTTAGGTTTGTAATTGGCAAAATGTGTAAATATGGAAGAATTTGTAAAAATGAAAAAATATGTTATGTACCTAGTTTGTGAAGTGTAGTAGTTCTACTGCAAAATATTTGATTTTACATCACAATCCCCAATTGCGTATTCAACACTTGGAACATTTTACCAGATGGTGTGGTTAATGCTACATCAGTCAATAGATTCAAAGTGTATTTCTGGGGAAAATCTTTTTAAGAGAACGTCTGCTTGTGTTTCTACCAAAATTTTGTTTTCTTCTGTAAACTGCATAAATTGGTTTCCAATAATTTGGAATGGATTCCAATAATTTTTCAATATCTGGTAACACATTTATTAGTCTCAGGTTGCAGCATTTTTTGGAATTGAATTAATTTATCTTGGGAACTGGCGTTATTGTAGAGCATCTCAAAATTTTGGGCAAAGAACTTCTTCTCAATGAACAATCAATCCAATTCCAAAACTGTTTTAGAGGTTGTGTTTAGTAATGATATCGGTACTGTTGCAGTTGGATTTTAAACTGCTTATTTCTTCTGAGAAACCTCAATGATTACATTACTGTTTCCGAGAGGTATTAAAAAACATACTGTTGAATTTGAAATTTTTTATAAGGTTCAAAACAGAGCGACACGTCAAAAAAAACGCTATCTAGTGGCCACAAAGTGAACTAATTTGACAGCGCAAGCAGAAGCTCTTCCGAACGTAACCAAGATCGTGAAAATGGGTGCTGATAAATAGAAGTAACATTATATTTTCTGAAGTGACATTCAACCATTTCCTTACCCTAGACGAAAATATGGAAAAATGACGTTGAGAGGGAAGTTCGAAGATGTTCGGTCAACATGCGGGTTCAATCAATTGGGCAGGAATACCTATTAGATATAATTATGTCTCCAACATTTAGAAGAATTTGTTGTTTTTATGTGTTTTTTATATATTGTATCCATTGGATCTTAAAATATGCATATGTAAGAATAATTATTTTTACCTACGCCAATGAAACCAGAACAAAGACCTTATATGAGTTATTCTCGTATTCCACACATTGTGCGTTTAAATTTGGCATTATATTTCCCTGTAATGCGCTTAATCTGTTGAGCAATTATGTATAAATAAATATATAAACTCACAATGTTATTAGCTGTGCGAGAATTATTTTGAGAAGAAATTGTAGCTGAGGCGTGCAACAAAAATATAGGATGTGGGCAGCCTAACATTTCAGAAATACGATGGGTTTTATTGAGAAACATCTTGGCGTTGAAATCAAAATCGTTCTAAATAAAATCCTAATTGAAAATATAAAACCCCTGATTTCAGATATACAGTATTCAAATCTTTTGCACCAAATTTTAGTTAGATGATATTTTGGTGACATTAATTGCTTATTTCTTTTAAATTGTGTCCACATTATTTATCTATCACATTTTCCCAATTTCAAGCCTAGACTTCGAGATATCTGAACTCTTTTCCGAATTGACTATATATATTTATATAGGTGAAAAATTAAAGCTTCCGCCTTTTGTTGGGTGCTTCGACAAAATTTAAGCAAAGAGGACTCTTTATACTTTTTTAATTCTCTCTAGCTTTCAATGGACTTTGCCATCATCATCAGGAGCTGCAATTACAATGATAACAGTAGCAACAAAAGTGTAAAATGAATTTAAATTGACTCAACTTACAGTAGTATGTGAGGATGTTGCTAATTGTTGTTTACGTATAGGATGAGGGAAACGTCCATTAACATGGTGAGAGCTGGATAGATGGTACAATGGTCAAAATTATATAAAATATGACAAGAACAAGTTAAAAACAGATTAAAAATTATTTAAAAAACATTAGAGCATTACATCGTGAAGCCACTTGATGATTGCACAAAATGGTGGTCATGGAATAATGAGTGAGATGAAACCCTTTGACAGAAGGCCGAAGGTTGTCAATGTCTGTGTTGAAAGATGGAACGAATTGTGGTCGTGTGCCAAACATTGCCAAATCACTTCAGATGATGTGATTGTCAGAATGTTATGTAAGAAATTGTTAAACCGACCAGAGGCAGTTGAATAAACTATATTTTAATTAATGGGAATTTAAATTAACAATTATTAATAAATCGTGAGAAGAGAATTATTATATTTTGAGTGGAATGAAATTTACTGGTGGAATCGGCCAAAACACAGATTCTATTTATGGTTGTGAAGAGTCGAAATTTGGGGAGATATGTAAGTTCTCCAATTTTTCGCAGTTTAGCAAATATGAGTAAATGACACTCAGTTGTTTAACATCTGTCTTTTTGTTGATACAGTTGTTATTCATGAAAATGTGGGACATTTCCAGGAATAAACGTTTGGAAAGGTGTTTTTCTTTATCAAGAACTTTGATACTTGTTTAATTCATAGAATGCCCTGTTAACATGAGATGCTAGAGCGCATCTTTCAGGATGAAGCCTAGCATCACTTTTGTGTGATGTAATCCTTCCTTTAAGATATCTGGAGGTCTGACCTATGAATATTTGGTTGCAGTTGGTGCAATTGATGGAGTAGACTGTGTTGGTTAAGCCAAGCAGCGGGACTTTGTCTTTCATTTTTGAAAAAATGCAGTTTATAGTGAGGACGGATTTGCAAGCAATTCGAAAGTTCAAAGGACTGCACAATCTGATCAGCTTAGGGGTCAGTTCCTTGATATAGGGCAGGACAGCAAAACCAGGTCTGGAGTCAGGGTTGGTGCTTGTACTGTTTGGATTGATGTTATTATTGGGAATTACATCAGTTCCGTTATTAGGGGTTGTGCGACTATTACCTGCATCACCAGAGTTCGGCAAAACATTGGAAGGTGAACTAGATAAGATCCTGTTAATCAGACACTTCGGATAACCATTATTGATGAACAGTTTTGATAGTTTACGTAAATTTGAGGTGTGGAAGGTATTATCTGAGATGCTGATTACCCTTGTTTTCATCTGTGTTACCAAATTGATTTTAATCCCTAGCTTATGGTATGACCTAAAATTGAGAAACCGACCTGAGGCCATAGGTTTCTGATACCAGTCTACCAATAAACTGTTGTTGTTGGTGCGGATGAGTCTTGTGTCTAGAAAGGGGACAGACAGGTTGTAATGTAATTCCCAATAATAACATCAATCCAAACAGTACAAGCACCAACCCGGACTCCAGACCTGGTTTTGCTGTCCTGCCCTATATCAAGGAACTGACCCCTAAGCTGATCAGATTGTGCAGCCCCTTGAACTTTCGAATTGCTTGCAAATCCGTCCTCACTATAAACTGCATTTTTTCAAAAATGAAAGACAAAGTCCCGCTGCTTGGCTTAACCAACACAGTCTACTCCATCAATTGCAACAACTGCAACCAAATATACATAGGTCAGACCTCCAGATCTCTTAAAGGAAGGATTACATCACACAAAAGTGATGCTAGGCTTCATCCTGAAAGATGCGCTCTAGCATCTCATGTTAACACAACAGGGCATTCTATGAATTACACAAGTATCAAAGTTCTTGATAAAGAAAAACACCTTTCCAAACGTTTATTCCTGGAAATGTCCCACATTTTCATGAATAACAACTGTACCAACAAAAAGACATGTTAAACAACTGAGTGTCATTTACTCATATTTGCTAAACTGCGAAAAATTGGAGAACTTACATATCTCCCCAAATTTCGACTCTTCACAACCATAAATAGAATCTGTGTTTTGGACGATTCCACCAGTAAATTTCACTCCACTCAAAATATAATAATTCTCTTCTCACGATTTATTAATAATTGTTAATTTAAATTCCCATTAATTAAAATATAGTTTATTCAACTGCCTCTGGTCGGTTTAACAATTTCTTACATAACATTCTGACAATCACATCATCTGAAGTGATTTGGCAACGTTTGGCACACGCCCACAATTCGTTCCATCTTTCAACACAGACATTGACAACCTTCGGGCTTCTGTCAAAGGGTTTCATCTCACTCATTATTCCATGACCACCATTTTGTGCAATCATCAAGTGGCTTCACGATGTAATGCTCTAATGTTTTTTAAATAATTTTTATGTTAATCTGTTTTTAATTTGTTCTTGTCATATTTTATATAATTTTGACCATTGTACCATCTATCCAGCTCTCACCATGTTACTGGACGTTTCCCTCATCCTATACGTAAACAACAATTAGCAACATCCTCACATACTACTGTAAGTTGAGTCAATTTAACCCTTAACCGGAAAGGTGCCGTCTGTGAGACTGCGGCGTTTCTATACCTGAGCGTATCTTTTTTTATTGCACCTCTAACAGACGTAAAAACCCATCTAATCCATAAGCTATTAGTGACCATCGCCCACCCCCATTCACACGAGTCTAGCCAAAACGCGCCTTAAAATATGGACCAATTTTAGTTTGTTGCAGTCTGTCAGACGGCACGTTTCCGTTCCCGTTTGCTATTTGTGTTGCATAGGTGCGTTTGCGAGTATGGCGGGACCTTCTAAACGTGTACGATACGATGATCCGGAGTTCGAAGAAACCGTTCTAAAATGGTTTGAGGATGAAGGAAGTGACTTTAGTGATATAGACAGTGCCTCAGAAGACGAATACATGGAATCAGATCATACAAGTGATAGTGAGTTATCAGAAGACGGAGCCGAAGGAAATGAAGAGGATTTACCAGCTCAGAATTATTTCTATGGAAAAAATCGTCATAGGTGGAATATTTCGGAAGTTGTACCATCATCACGTACAAGGAAGCACAATATAGTCATTAAAGTACCAACTCTAAGAGGAAAAGCTCATGAATATGGAGAAGAAGCAGCTCCGTTGACGGTTTGGCAGCTTTTGTTCACTGACGACATGTTGGTACATATCGTTAAGTGGACCAATCACAAGCTCAAAGAAATGCGAAAGAGATACAAAAATCAAACCAGCAACCTAAACGACACTGATTTATTCGAAATAAAGGCACTATTGGGTCTCTTAGTATATACATCGCTGTTCAACAGCAACCACGAGAACATTGAAACACTTTTTGCCACCGATGGCTCTGGAAGAGATATATTCAGAGCTGTCATGAACATAAAACGATTTGGTATTCTCCTGTCAGCCTTAAGGTTTGATAACCCAGATGACAGGAATGAAAGAAAGAAGCTAGATCCAGTAGCACCAATATCTTTCATTTTTAATAGTTTTATAAAGAACTGTCAAGATGTGTACGGAGTTGGCCAGTCTGTCACTGTCGATGAAATGCTCGTGAGTTTCAGAGGAAGATGTCGATTTAAAATGTATATGCCTGCGAAACCTTGCAAATATGGCATAAAAATTATGGCATTGACGGATGCAAGGAATAGCTACCTCTATAACGCATATATATACTGCGGTAAAGATTCCGATAGTTTCGAACTTCCTGAGGAACACAAGCGGTATTCCAAACCCACACAATCAGTTCTACGTCTCGCGAAGCCTCTGTTTGGAACTAATCGCAACATTACAGCGGAGAACTGGTTTACGTCAATAGAATTAATGGATGTCCTATTGAAGAACAAACATGTGGGTACAATGAAGAAAAATAAAAGAGAAATTCCTCCGGCATTTTTACCCAACAAATCAAGAGAAGTCGGATCAACAATGTACGGATTTCGAGAAGATTCCACTATTGTGTCTCATGTAAGCAAAAAAAATAAAGCCACAATACTCATATCTTCTATGCACCACAGAAAATATTGTGATCCGGAAACACAGAAACCGGAAATAATAGCCTATTACAATGCTAATAAAGGTGGAGTTGATTCTCTTGATGAAAAATGTTCGAAGAGTACCTCAAGTCGCCGTTCGCGTAGGTGGCCACTGGTTATTTTCTACCGACTATTGGATATATCGGTAGTGAACTCGTATATTTTACACCAGTGCTATAAGAAAAATGAATTGCAGAAGGAAAAATCGGTATTTGCTAAGATGTTGGCCGCTAACCTGGTCCGTGAGCATATGGAAAAGCGACTAGAGAGTCCCCGTTTACCTCGGGATTTGCGACTTACGATAAATCGCATCCTTGGCAAATGTGAACATCCAGCAACAGAAGCTGAAAATTTGGTTTTGGAAAAAAGGAAAGCCTGCTTTTTATGTCACCGAACGACCCATCGGATGACCAAATTTTTGTGTGTACAATGTAGGAAGCCTGTATGTCTTCAATGCTCCAAACCCAAATGTATTAGCTGCATAAATATAGGCAATGTTTGAGACTTGCAGTGAATTTTGATTGTGTTCTTTTTGTATTTATTGACTATAATATACTTTCCTTGTTCATTACTTAACTAGAAAATAGAAAAATATTGAGACTTTTCCATAGTTTTAATTTAGTTTCTGAATGTTGCAACAACAGCGTTATTTTTGTATGGTTTTAGCATAGTTAATAAAAATGTTTCTTTTATGTTCTTGTATCATTTTGAAATGAGCATTTTACGTATTAAACACATAAAATAAACATCCAGTATCAGTTTCAGCGAAGTTATTGCTTGCTTTTCGCCTTACTCTAATTTTTTGAACATCTTGAAGTTCGCAGTCTGAGAGACGGCATGTTTCCTTTTGTGTTCCAAAAATTCACGTTTCCTGTTAAGGGTTAAATTCATTTTACACTTTTGTTGCTACTGTTATCATTGTAATTGCAGCTCCTGATGATGATGGCAAAGTCCATTGAAAGCTAGAGAGAATTAAAAAAGTATAAAGAGTCCTCTTTGCTTAAATTTTGTCGAAGTACCCAACAAAAGGCGGAAGCTTTAATTTTTCACCTAACTGGTCTAGACGACAATGACCACGTCTCAAGTTATATTTATATATATTTTTTTTCAGGGCTTCGAATCAAGATGCGATGAAACAGCATCCTGTAGTTGACAAAAAAACAATCTCCGAGTCATTTTTTTGTCATAATTGTAATTATTCTGCTAGATCTAAGTATCTTCTGATTAGTCATATGAAAGAGCATAACATGTGCATGTCGATTTCTAGTAAAATTCATAAATGCTCATATTGCAAATACAAAACAATACATAACAGTAGACCTGGTAAATATATGTTGAAACATCCTGAGTCGGCAGGTAACTATCAATACAGCATAAAATACAGTGAATACATATGTATTCACTGTAAGGCAAAATTCAGTAGTGAAACAGCACTGAATAATCATATAATCAAAAAACATCCTGACTTTAATGCATCTGTTTCTAGTAAAATATATGAATGTACACATTGTGCTTATAAAACAACCTTCAAGGGTTGTTTTGTGGGACATATGCTAAAACATTCAGAGACAGGAAGTAACTCTAAATTCAGCATATGTATTCACTGTAAGGCAAAATTCACAGGTAAAACACAACTGAATGATCATATAATCAAGAAACATCCTGACCTTATAGCATCCGTTTCTAGTAAAATATATGAATGTACACATTGCACTTATAACACAATCTTCAAGGGCAATTTTGTTAGACATACGCTAAAACATTTAAAGACAGGAAATAACTATAAATTCACCATATGTATTCACTGTAAGGCAAAATTCAGAGGTAAAACTGAATTGAATGATCATATAATCAAGAAACATTCTGACTTTATTGCATCTGTTTCTAGTAAAATATATGAATGTACACTTTGCACATATAAAACAACCTTAAAGACTCGTTTTGGTAGACATATGTTAAAACATCCAGAGACAGCAAGAAACTATAAATTCCGCATATGTATTCACTGTAAGGCAAAATTCAGAGATAAAACGCGACTGAATGATCATATAATCAAGAAACATCCTGGCTTCATTGCATCTGTTTCTAGTAAAATATATGAATGTACACATTGCACTTATAAAACAACTGTCAAGTGCATTTTTGTTAGACATATACTAAAACATTCAGAGACAGGAAATAACTATAAATTCAGAATATGTATTCACTGTAAGGCAAAATTCAGAGATAATACGCACCTGAATGATCATATAATCAAGAAACATCCTGGCTTCATTGCATCCATTTCTAGTAAAATATATGAATGTACACATTGCACTTATAAAACAACCTTCAAGGGCATTTTTGTTAGACATATGCTGAAACATTCAGAGACAGGAAATAACTATAAATTCAGCATATGTATTCACTGTAAGGCCAAATTCAGAGATAAAACGCAACTGAATGATCATATAATCAAGAAACATGCTGACTTTATTGCATCCATTTCTAGTAAAATATATGAATGTACACATTGCACTTATAAAACAACTTACAAGGGCAGTTTTTTTAGTCATATGCCAAAGCATCCAGAGACAGCAAGTAATTATAAATTCAGTATTTGTACTCACTGTAAGGCAAAATTCAGGAATAAAACGACACTGAATGATCATATAATCAAGATACATCCTGACTTTATTGCATCCGTTTCCAGCAAAATACTTGAATGTACACATTGCGCTTATAAAACAACCTCCAATAGTACTTTTGCTAGACATATGTTGATACACTCAGTCCAGTAGAGTAAAATTCCAAAACGGAGTGATAATAAAGAAACATAATATGGTATGGTATATAACAATAATAATTATAATAATAAATAATCTTTATTTCAAAATAACAGTGCGCAATAGGCTATTTGACTAATTTTGCAAAATCATTTTAAATTATTATTTTATATATAATGAGCACACTACATGAATATTTCCTGAAAATCTATACTATTTTTAATAGAAATCAAATTTAAAGTTTGAATTTTTAGAACCGCGCCAAAAACGCTATTCCTGTGATGGCGCCGGCAGATGACGTCTGTGACGTCACACGCCAGTAAACACGATCACGAGCTGTCAGCCGAAGTTAATTTCATTATTGTGCTTGATTTTGCTATAAAATCATAGATAAAATGGTCTATAAATGGTGTGTAGTGCCAAAATGTACGAATACGTCTATAAATAGTCCACAAACATTGTTTGTTTCTGTTCCAACCGATTGTAAAAGACGAAAAAAGTGGTTACTATTAGCTCGGAGAGACCCAAAGGGCATTTCATCGACTTCAAATGTATTTATGTGTGAAGATCACTTCGATGTAAGTATAAATATAATATGTTATCTACTAGGTAGCTTAAATTACCGCTTTTTTTAAGATTGAAATAATATATAACTATCTATAACCTCAAATGTATCTTTGGTTATGTTGAGGATAAGTCAGTGTTGAGGATCAAAGATCCTGTTTATTAACCCTAAACTTATTACTCTGTAGGGTTTCAAAATGTTTTCTGTTGTTTTGATTATATTAGCTACCTACATATCTCAATAATTTTCTATGCTGTGTCATTTTACCTACTTTGCTTATTAGATAGTGATAGTTATGTTGAATTGCAGATGGAAAAAGACACCATTAACTACATGCAGTACAAAATGGATTTCAGCAAGAAGATACTTTTGACAGAAGATGTTGTGCCAACAAAATTTCATTGTCAAGAAGATCGTAAAAGACCACTGTCTGATGCTGGACTTTCTCGAGGAGCATATGTCAAGAGGAAAAGAATGGATTTGGTCAACACATGTTTGCAAAGTCAAAATGCTACTGAAGCCCAAGCTGAAAGCTTACAAAAAGATGAGAGTTTGATACAAGACATTATTGAACCTCAAGGTATGTAATCTATTACATGTGTCCTATCATAAATTATAGTCTGAGAGCTGATAGACATTTTTGTAACCTATTTGAGGCCTTATAAAAACTTTTCTACTACTTCCATTATTTCTGAATAAAAAGGGCAGAACTGAATAACATATTTGTAGCACATTGAGATTTTCACAGAATAATATTTATGGTTTAAAATTGATATATTCAAAGTGATAGGTCATTTTAGTGGGACATTTTACTTGCTAGGTGATCAAGAATGCTCAACTTGTACTTCAGGTAATGGGTAATTTTCTCTCAAGCTGTTGATGTTGTGATTCACTACCCCTTATCCAGCACTGCACTTTTTCTTCAGTGATAATGGTAGTAGGAAGTAGTAGACAACTTTTCATAGTGCCTTAACATAATCATTTACGTTGAAATTAAGACATTAATTTTGAGTCTTTGTTCTTTCAGATTTATCAAGAACTCAAGACAGAGAAACTATTACCAACTCTATCATAACTGCAGAAAAATCTGTGCAAGTAACAATAAAAGAGAATGTGCATCATAGGAGCAAATCTGTGCAAACAAGATGCCAGACTACAAGTATTTCTACCTCACCAATGAAAGTTTCTACAACATCTCGTTCCACTTCGCCCTTTAAGATTAAACCATGCAGTCTTCGACCATCACAGTCTGAAATTGTCAAAGCAGTCAAGAGAAATGTTTTTCTTGAAGATGAAAAGTCAGATAGTGATATTTCCTGTATTGAAAGTGGTCGATATTTATCACCTTTTGTAACTAAATCAGCATCATCATCATCAGGGCTTACCGACTCTGATAGTAATGTTACAGATGCCAATGAGAATATTGAAAAATTAGAGTGCCTCAAAATTACTATGCGTTCAATCTCTAAAAAACCAATGATGTATGTTGGTATTCCAAAAGAATGTTATTTCTTAATCAAATTGTTACATAAACACACAAGCATAAAAGTAGAACACATTTTGCTATGCTTGAAAAAGATTAGAATGAACAGTACATTTTCTGAACTGGAGGATAATTTTGGAATATCATTATCTTATGCTAGTAAATTGTTTCTACAAAATATACCAATAATAGCTAGTGTTTTAAGACCATTCATTGTAAATATAGATAAAAAATTGGTAAAAAAAAATCTTCCTATTTCATTTAGACATAACTATCATAATGTCAGTTGCATCATAGATTGTTTAGAGATTGATATACAAAAACCATCAAAGGCTCTTCATCAGTCATTGACGTGGTCAGAGTACAAAAAGGGGAATACTGTGAAGTATTTAGTATCCTGCACACCTAATGGTTTAGTTAATTATGTTTCGCATGGGTTTGGGGGCAGAACCAGCGATGCCACAACAGTAGAAAATTGTAACTTTCTAGATGGATTACCCCAAGGATCCTGTTGCTTAGCTGACAGAGGCTTCAAACACCTTGAACAAATACTTCATGAAAAGGGACTAAAACTATTAAGGCCACCCAGTGTAAATGCTGGTGCAAAGTTGTCAAAAACTGAAGTTCGACAAACTAAAATAATAGCTAGTTTGTGGATTCATATTGAAAGGGTAATAAGGCGTTTGAGAGAATTTCATATTTTAAAGCAACATTCAGTGATAAATACTAACATACGTCGTGTACTTGATCATGTCATTATAATTGCATGTGCTCTAATAAATTTGCAAGATTCTCTTATTAAATAATGGGTTTTTGCCTGTTATGATACTTTATACTTAATTATTATAATGTAATCTCCTCTTTTGTGACATACCATTTGAACTTTGTGTTTTGTACTTGGCTGAATAAATACTTCTACTACTACTACTATAAATAAAGAAATAAATGATGTAAAACCATGAATAAAATAATAATAAAACAAGAAATATGCACTGCATAGTTTTTTATTTGATAATCACAGACTAGTGCTACGATACAAAATAGGATATATTTTTTTTCCAAAAAATATACAAGTTTTTTATTAAGTTGTTGACATAATCATCTTCGTACTTCACTAGAATAATATCTACATTTTTTGTTTCTTCAAAGTTGCTATCAGCAACACAAAAATAACATCTTTTCATACCAGTTGCATGCATCTGTAATTGAACCTGTGCCTTACATTTCTCTGAAATAATTCCATTTTTTAAATAATTGTTCTTAGCTTTTGCTTTGGTAGGGCATTTTATTTCAACAGTGGCATCTTTCAATAAACCATCAGGAGATGCTGCAAGCATGGGATTGTCTTGGCATACATAAAGTCCACATGTTCTGATTTTTTTGTTCAATGTTGTACTAACTGTCTTCCGGACCGATAGCTCCAAACTTCTACCTCTTTTCATTGCAATAGTATCTGGTATTTTTGCGCCCATTATAGTAGCAACCAATGAACCATCAGGTGTATGACATACGCTCACTTCATGTGCCTTTGAAGCTGTGATACGGCCATACCTCATCTCATACCACAAGCTGCTCTTGTACTGCATTCTTGTTGCTTCTTCAATTGCACTGATAGCAGCTCTGTTGAATGTTGTCTTCATTATGTCTACAAGATTGTCTACGTCTGATTGAATTTTTGGTGGTTGGTCCATTATGAAACAGTGCAGCGAATACCGCATAACATTTGAGTGTTTAAAATCGTCCTGATATTTTATCAATTCGCAGTGTTGAAGTTTTCTTTTTTTGGCTTCCAAAATAAAGTCTGTGTAAAGTGCTGATGTACTTGGTCTGTGTGGTACTTCCTTTTTCGACATCTGCTGCACAGTGATGTACTTCAGAGTAGTCCCTACTCTTGACAATGTTGGCTTTTTCCAATAACATTCCACCGAAGTAGATGGAGGTTCCTCACTGCGCCGATGTACCCAAATCAAAAAAGCGACTGCATGCTTGCATCCTCCTGCTGAAGCAGCACAGTCATGGCACTGACAACTTATTATCTCGCTTTCATTTTCGTTGATAACCATTGTCACATTACGCTTTTGATCTCACTTTGTGCTCTGGGCACATTTTGCACTTAAGTGTGCAAAGTCCATGCTCCCGGTGCAGCTGCACATAGCCAATTGCATCGTCTCCGTAGGACTCCCTTCCAAACCTGTAAAACAAAAGCAAAACATGAAAGTATGTTTTATTCATGAAACCATATATGAACCATATTATCATATTGAACTGAAAGCTTTTTTCATTACCTACATCAACATAACCTAAAATAAGATTGATTTTACAAATCTTTTAATGATCATACATAAAGGTTAGTAGGTATAAATAAATACTTTCTATTACTACGTACCAGCGGCGGCTCGTGGTCTATGATACAGGGGGTTCACAAGTGGTATAAAATAATTTTTTTTACCACCACCAAAATTTTTATGTAATGCGTGACGTAGAAGGCAATAAGAGTACTAAAACAATCATCAAGGACACATTTTTGTTATTTTTTTTTATTATACACAAGAAAATACATTTATAAAAAATACAATTTTTTTAATGAGTACAGTGTTTAAACGTAAAGTCCATTCTCCTGATTTTATTTGCAGAAAATTTATCAATAACTAACTCGTTAAAGTTTGGAATACCCGCTATACATTTTTTCTCGATAGATAGCATTGCTAGCGCTGACAGTCTTTCTTCATTCATAGAACTTCGCAAAAATGTTTTTATTCTCTTCAATGTCGAAAAGCATCTTTCACTTTCGGCCGTAGTCATTGGTATGGTAACAATTATTTGTAAAAGTGTAAAGGTGGCAGAAAATATGCTCTGAAGATTATTTTCTATAAAAAACTGTAACAAACTAATGGCACCAGTCATATTCCTGAAGTCAGGTCGCCGGTAAATTAATTCCAATTCAGTCTGGAGACGAACTTTATCTAAAAACGAATATGCTTCTACTACAGTTTCCAAATATTGCAATGGAAAATGCTTTTCAAATTGTGGAAATTTGTCAGAAGAAAGAAGAATAGCTGCATTTAAATGTTTTGTAAAAGAAAATCTATCTGTTACATGTGTAATTATGGTATCACAAACTTCCTTGGCTGCAACAGCTCTGCAAATATGCTGGTCTTCATTTGCACGACGCTTTTTAGTTTGAGTAGTAGTGGTATCTTCAGAAATTTCAGTTTCAATTGTTTCCAAGCAGTCTCTCTCTTTTTGGATGCAGTTTTCAAAACACTTTATGGCAGTCTGAATTTGCACTGGGTCAGTCACTGTTTTTTGTAACTGATTATATAAAATATCAGCATGTGGCAATATTCGATGAAATACAGTTAGCCAGAACACAAACTTAGAATCTTGTAGCATACGGCCAATACCAGTGGCTTGATTGATGGTAACAGTTTGTTTTGAAGTAGCTTCTATTTTTTCCATGCATTCTATTAACAATTCGCGATATTCATATACTGTATTTATAGATCTGCTTTTAAAATTCCATCTTGTAACAGAAGACCTAGGAACTCTTGCACCAACAATGTCATCCAAAACTGCAACTCGTTGTGGAGAATGAGAAAAAAAAGTTGAAATATCGCTTAAATTTGAAAAAAATACCCGTACTTCTTGATTTTGGCTTGTAGCTTGCAATAAAATCAAATTTAGCTGGTGGGCATAACAATGAATGAAATAAGCATAAATATAATCGCGTTGGATAAGAGCTTGAACACCTCCACGACGTCCACTCATTACACTAGCGCCGTCATAACTTTGAGCTATCAGTTTCTCTGGTTTGTCTAGCACTTGTATTAAATTAGTTCTCACACATTCTGAGAGACTAACTGCATCGTGGTCAGGGGGGGTAACAAAATTCCAAAAACGTTCAACTGGCCTTCCATCTGGTAGAATGTACCTAAATACTGTAGTCATTTGATAACAATTAGCTACATCCGTTGTTTCGTCAGCCATAACAGCAACAAATTCAGCTTCCAAAATTTCTTTCCTTATATTTTCCTGAGCCACTTGTAACATGCAATCTAACAATTCGTTTTGAATGATTTTTGATACCCCTTTGAATACTGTCGATTTTTCAAAATGATCTTTAAGTGCTATATCTAATTCGGCAGTGAAATTTATTAAACCTCTAAAAATACCAGGATTTGATGAACCATCTTTTTCGTCGTGACCGCGGAGGGCTAATTCAAAAGCTCCGCAAAATTTTATGCAATCAATAATTTTTGAAAGCACATACCTATTCTTTCTAACTTGTTCATTTTGCTGTTGAATACTGCGCCTATATGCACTGTCCAACTGCTGCCGTATATCTACTTTTCCCAAAAGCTGCATTTCCAGTTGCGCATTGATATGGACTTGAGTGTTTTCATGTTTCTTAATTTTTTGTGCTAAATGTCCTAAGTCGGCTATTCCATTTTTTGTCCAGGCAGGCTCTGCAACCCCGTGACCAAACAACAAACAGGAAAAACAAAACAAACGGTTTGTTGTGCTGCATCCACAAATCCAGTTATTCTTTTCATATATTTCCATTTTAAACTTTCTAATAAAGTCTCTAGATTTACCCTTTGTGGTCTGAGTTAAGTTAATTTCTGGTGTAGGTCTTCCCGCATTTTTTATTTCAATTTTTTGCTCCAAACTCAATGAACTGAAGTTATGTTTCAAATATTCCACAGTGAAACCATTCATTTTAACTCAATATTTTAGTAAAACACTGCTACGAACATAAAAATTCGAACACACCTCCGATTACTGCATAAAATGCACGCGCAACGGACAATGGCGCACTCCAGAAGTGTGCTCCTTCTCCAACTAAAATTGCCATAACCCCGCTATACCCCGCAACCAGAACAGCTTGGTGAGAAACACACTAATCCCGCGTACATGATCGCATATGCGACTATTCGTCGTCATCCGCCGTCACCCGTCGGCGGCAGTCGGATCGGGCCAGACCAAATCACAAGTCGGAATCGCCCGAATCAGGCAGCGCAGCGGGAAGAGTGGTGACTCACCAGTGGAGAGCTACTAGATCTTTGATTTTATAGGATTAAATATCAGGGAGGCTCAGACTTTATTTGAGAAATTATTAAATGGATGTTAAGTAAGCCACACACTGTGAGACTTGCCTCGAGGTACGTCGCGAGGCGAGGTCTCATGATATCGGCAGACGTCAGTCCCCAGTCACTCGTCACCCCACACCTTGAGACAGTATCGCAGACGGTATCACACAGTTCGCTATTTTTTTGAGAGTGAATATAAAATGGCCTTTCATGAATATTCAAAAAAACAAAAAGTTGCACTTGGTGTTGCCATTGGTTTGGTACTATTCGAGGAAAAACAGGAAAAAAGAAAATGGTCAAAGAATTGGTTTCTTGAAAGGAAGAAGTTCTCTCACATGCCACTTTTAAAAGAATTGCAGCAAAAAGAACCCAAAGATTTTTTGAACTATTTGCGTATGAACGAAAAACAATTTAATTTTCTTTTAAATTTAATCCGGCCAGACATTGAAAAGAAAAATACTGTATTAAGAGAAGCGGTATCAGCTGAAGAGCGATTGGTCGTTACTCTTAGATATTTAGCTACTGGTCGAAATTATGAAGATCTGAAATTTTCCTGTGCTATTTCTCCACAGTTACTGGGTGAAATTATTCCAGAAACTTGCTGGGCAATATACAACGCTTTAAAGGAAAAGTATTTGAAGGTACGTTTTTATAATATACTTTTATTATTTTAAATGCAAAACATATTAAACATTAACTTAGCTAATGCTGTCAAAAAATACTTATAATTCAGTAAACGAGTAGTAATACAGTTAACGTAATATTCCAGTGGCAGAACTAGTCTTGGAAGTTTTCATAATATGAATAAATATCTCCCTGTGCAGTTGGTTGTTGAGGTTGCTGCTCAGATTGCTGTACTGTATAAGCTATATTGAAAAAGTATTACTCGGTTCCACATGGGTGCGGGCCTGTCGTACTTCAAAGTTTTCATTTAACTTATTCAGTTTGCCGTAGTACATTACATCATTTATAAGCTTTTCTGCAATTACTCTCTGATTAGATGTCATTTAAATCAGAAGCAAATTTTTTTCCTGCTATGTCGCAGGGATTTTCAGGTTCCGCACATGTAGGGGGTTTAGACAAAGCCCTATGAGCTAGTTCCACAAGTTCATTTTTTTTCTCCTCCATTCCTTTTTTTCTTTTTAATATTTTAGTTCCTAGTGTTGGAGTTGATGTTGAAGCCGATGAACTTGGCCTAGTAGTACTTGGTAAAGATTCCGAGTGAGCAGGAGGAGAAAAAGCGTTATCATAACTGTCCTCATCTCGAACATTGTTTTGATTCTAAAACAAATAATTATTATTAATTCAAACAATTTAATACTACTTTTTTATTACAGTTTCCATCTTCCGAGGAAGAATGGCGCGGGGTTGCAAAGGAGTTCGAATGTTTGTGGCAATTTCCCAATTGCGTGGGTGCGATCGATGGAAAACACATACAAATAAAAAAACCTAGAAACAGTGGTTCATATTATTATAATTATAAAGGAAACTTTAGTGTTGTGCTAATGGCAATTGCAAATGCAAAATACGAATTTATAATGGTTCATTGTGGGACCAATGGTAGGGTATCAGATGGTGGAGTTTTGAGTGAAACCAAGTTTTATGAAAAGCTTATAAATAAAAAATTATGTATGCCCGATCCGACAGAACCCCATGCAACCAATGTGATGTTACCATATACATTTGTTGGAGATCAGGCTTTTCCATTAACTGAAAATTTAATGAAACCATATCCAGACAAAAATTTAACAAGAGAACAAAAAATGTTTAACTACCGACTCAGTAGAGCACGCAGAGTATCAGAAAATGCATTTGGTATTATGGCCTCACGATTTAGAATTTTTCACACAATAATTAGCATAAATGTAAGACATGTGGATGCTGTAGTATTAGCCAGTTGTGCATTACACAACTTTTTAACACGAAATGGCTCAAATCGATATATACCGCCATTGTATGCAGACTCTGAAGACGTACATTCCGGAGAAATAATACCTGGCCAGTGGAGAGAAATAGGAGAACTTATACCTCTGCAACGAATAGCGCGTGCTTCAAATGTGTCTGCGAGAGAAATTCGAGATAATTTTAAAAATTATTTCAATAACAGCGGAGCAACCGATTTTCAGGACAGGATGGTCGTTTAAAGAGTATTAAGTTTTTATACTGAAATGTCTTAAATAAAATAATAAACTACTTACTGTTATTTCACTCTCTTGACTTTCGTCTTCGCTAGTAATAGTTTCAATTCCTTTTCTAGGGATTTCAGTGTCCGAAATAAAACTTAACAGGTCAAAATACCAAAGGCTGGGTACATATACATCATCAGCTTGTGTACCCGTAGGCTTCGACTTCTGTACTTTTTTCAGCTCTCTTCTAAAAGCACAGCGCATGTTATGTATTTTTTTTGAGACATAATCTCTATTGCCATTGGATATATTTCTTTGCATTTTTCCACCAGTCTATCTAACGCTGAGTTTTTCAAATTTCTATCCATATACGTTTTAGCTTCACATCCCATAAACATGGGTTGCTCCTGTACATTTCAATAAATTCTTCCCAAAATTCTCTTTCCTTATTCATCTTCTTTATTACATATAATAATTATAACAATTTCGGAACAACGAAATCTCACGAGATTCATGCGACTTTGGCACACACGTTGAGACTGGTCAGATTTTTCCTCGCGGCAAGTCTCAGTCTCCCGCCCGCGTCGGTCTCGTTGAGACGGTATCACACGATACAAAAATTATCGATACCGCAACACACACCATGAGATTTGTTATCAGAGATCTTGGTCTCGCGGCATGTCGCGAGGAAGATCTCACAATGTGTGGGCTACTTTATACATATTTATTATTATTTATTTTGGGGGTGCACGTGCTCATGTGCTCCTACAGTGGAACCGCCGCTGCTACGTACATTGTTGTTTTCACATGTTTGAGTTCCGCAGCATAGTAGTCCGCATTATTTTTGAAGAAAAATGCTACCATTAATGCGTCAACCTTAGGTAGATTGCTGTTATCAGCTTGCACAAAATTTAGGTCCATTTTGAAGTCCACAACGAATAATGATGTCAATAGTTGAAAGATTGATCAAGAAAGTAATAAAAATCTGTTTACGAAATAGAATTATGATAGAATATCTCACAGAAAGCCAGCAAAAACATACAACGCGATGTTGTTTACTGCATGTGACGTCACCATCGCAGCCAATCGCAGGGCGTTTCTGTGACCCATCGAATTTTTAAAAATAGCTGATTTTTATTTGATTGTTTCTCAAAAAATATACATATTTAGGTGTACATTAAAGTACTATGTGTTTTCTTATTCTATTATCTAATAGGATCACCACAATTCGCAACTTATTTTCAATACTGTCAAATAGCCTATTACAACGTAATGTCCGCTGTCAGGTGAAATATACGTCACATAATGCCATAATAGCAAACAAAAATAGTGTAAATATTACGATATTACACAATGTTTGTTTCACATTTCTAGATATTCATCGCGACCATATGCCTCTAGATTCATTAGTAACTTGTGAGTACATTTCTTGAACTCTTTTATATTCGACAACTTTTTAACTTCCTGGGGTAACTTATTGTAAAGCTCTGCACAACTGTAATGTACGTAACAGCTGGATGATGAATTGGATACAAAAGAGTTATATCTATGTTCCTTGTATTGTAATTGCCTGGGATTCCTATAAGTACCCAATATTTTTAAATGTAAAAATCAATATTTCTTGAATATATATTGCCACTATGGTGAGTATTTATTCCCTTTAAATTTTCCTCTATATGTTTCTCTACGCGGAACTTTTAACAATGCTCGTTTCTGTACCCGAAAGAGCCTGTTTACCTAGCTACTGTGTCGTAGAAAATTATACCAAAACATGCAATGGAATCAAAGTTGGCAAGGTAAACAATTTTTAGGGTCTTAAGGTCTAGGTACCTACTTAATATCCTAATACTATAACAAGTGCTGTTTAACCGTTTTTCTAGGGGCCGGTTGTTCAACTCCAGTTTAAACCGCTGTTCAGATTGAACTAAGTTCAAAGTGAAAATCAGTTGTACAAATAAAGCTCAAGGCTTGAACCCAGTTCAAGTAGGCATAGAACCTGACGGTCGATGTCCCTCGGTTAAACTCAGTTCAATGTGAGTAACATAATATCGTAGCAAAGTTTAGCGAAGGAGTTGTGTGTCAAGTAAAAATGGACATTCCCGAAGAGATAACTGATGACGAGGACTTCTTAGAATTAATTACCATCGTACATATACCAGGTTACCCAAAACTTACAAACAGAGACCTGATAATTTTCGGATTTGGAACGACACTCAATTCTTGCAACGTTTTCGGTTATCAAAAAGTACTGTTAGATCCATAATAGATAAAGTTGCAGATGACATCAGAAATATAACAATACAGTAAGTTCATTTATAATTACTAGGTATCAGAGCCATTCCTGACGGGTGCATATTGTGCTCCAAATTGAAGAATAAATATCATTACCTATTTAAAATTTTATATATTTTATATATATATATATATATATATATATATCTTTAAACATAATTTTTTTATAAATTATACAAACACCAACTTATGGGAATGCTGTGTTGCATCTAAATTGAAAAATCGTCTTTCATTGTCGGTGAATTTGCAAAACCATCTGAGCTGCTCAAGGCTACTCACTCTACATGAATGGCCCTGGGATGATATAATGCGGGTGGGATTTGGACAAATGTGTATAAAAGCTATTTTTTATAGAAATCATGCCCTCACGCCAGATGATATGGTCTTTGTTACGCTACGTTACCTTGCAACTGGGTCCTTTTTGCAAGTAATAGGGGATGTACAAGGTATGGACAAAGGAACTGCAAGCAGGGTTGTGTCGAAAGTTATAAAATCATTAGCAGTCCATTTTAAAGAATAATAAAATGCCTGAAAATGGCGAAGAGAGAACTGCGATACGTCCAAGAATTTTTCAATATTGCTAGATTTCCTAGGTGCATAGGAGCTTTAGACTGCACCCACATTAAATAAAATCTCCAGGTGGTGCAGACCCAGAGAATTATAGGAACAGGAAAGGTTTCTTTCCTATAATGTACAGGTGATTTGTGATGCCACTTTGAAATACAAAATATAGTTTGCCGTTGGCCAGGTGCATCACATGATGCAAATATATTTGCAAATAGTAGAGTTCGAGCCTTATTTGAAACCGGACATTTTGGCGATAGTTTGTTGGTTGCAGATAGTGGTTATGGTATTAAGCCATATTTAATCACACCACTAAGCCGACCTGAAACTCAGAGTCAACACTTATTTAATGAATCTCAATTCGCACAAGGAATCCTTCGAGAGATGCTTCGGGGTATGGAAAAGACGTTCCCCATCTTAGCATTAGGAATTCGTGTAGCGAAAGAAAAATTGAGCCAGTAGTTGTTGCAACAGCAGCCTTGCATAACCTAGCAATTATCATGAAAGACCACAACCTGCAATAAATAATGAAATTTGAAGCAGCAGTTGAATTCATAACAACTTTGATATTGTACCAGTCCCAGTTGGAGGTCAAGATGCATCTAATAATAGGACACGATTATTGTTAATTAATTATTTCCAGGATTTATTGTGAATGATTCAAAAATTCAGTTTTTAGTATTTTTCTAATGTTTATCTTCGTTCATACTAAGTGAAAGTGGATATAAATGATGCAATAAAGAATATTGGAGATTTTATGTATTTATTCAAAATAGGTAAATAAGATGGCAAGATTAAGAAAATCAAATTTTATATTTATTTAACAGATACTGTTTTTCCATATTTAACATTTCCATTTTAATGTTATGTACCTCATCTTCCCTCTTTTTCTCTCTTCATACTCTAGTTGCATTATTTCCAGTTTCTTTTTGTTTTCTTTCATCAATAGCTGTTTTTTCATTTCAAATTCATCCAAAAGGCATTTTTTCTTTAGAATCTTCCAATGATTTTTGGATCAACCATTTTTCCATTTTTGTGCAAATAGCACCCCTTTTTTTTGAGCAGTCGGTCTTCACTAAAATTAAAATGTTTAAGGAACATCTTATTGTGATCCCATTTACTAGCAACATATAGTATTTCATTACTAATTTCGTCAACAAGAACAAAAATTTACAGCACAACATGCAAAAACTTTCCATTTTGTACTAGAAGTAACAATTCCTTTTGGAATTTGTAATGAATATGAAATATTTCTGGAGATTATAATGTAGATTACCTTCTGCAGTTCTCAGAGCACTTGATTTTGGTGTGCGCAAAAGGGATGTACTAATTTGCTCCAGTCCCTCGTTTGATGTCTACTGGATTCTGGACCTTCTAAACGATGCGCTATTTGATTTTCTTTATCTGTAAATCATGAATAAATGAGGATGCGCCACAATAAGGCACATATATTGTGTGTATTTACTAGCAAAGGTAGTTTTTATTACTCATTCAATCAACAGTATGAAAAACTTTCCATTTAAGTTCTAAAATAGGTTTTTTTATTTTCATAATTCAAGATAAATGCCTTATAAAAAGCATGCAGTAATGACGATAATAGTTCTGTAGATTTTAATGTAGATTACCTTCTGGAGTTCTCAGAGCACTTGATTTTAGTGTGCACAAAGGGGATGTATTTAACTTGCTCCCCTCCTCCGCCTGATGACTACTGGCCTCTGGACCTTCTAAATGAGACACTTCTTGATTTCTTTATCTGGAAAATCATAAATAAATGATAACATCAAAACTATTTATTTTATTACCACTGTTTTGAACTTCCTGTGTCTCCTCTGAAGTGATTTCATCTGAAACACCTTAAATTAATAAAAGTACATTATTTAACATACATTCGAAACTTACATTCCTCAATAATTAAGTCCCTGCATGTAGCATTCTCAGGTATGTCACAGACAACTAAAAAAAAATTAACTTAAAATATATTCACTCAACACAATCCGCTTCCTTACTCATGTCATCATCATACGTGAAGGGTGTCCTTCTATTCGGACACCTAAAATGTCTTTGACTTGTTCATCAATATCGGTGAAATGAACTGTTTTTGAGGCACCTCCTCCTGTAGCAAACAGGGAACACTTCTCCTGTGAGAACTTCTTCTTTGACCTTTTTTTGATATTGTCTATTTATTCTTCAATGTTTTACTATCCCTGTAGGTCACCGCTCCACTGTTAAACTCTTTTGCAATCTATTCCATGTCTTTGCTTTTGAAGAGTTTGTTACTGCATCCGTTTTACGACATTCAATAACATCTTTATATTTATTCACCAGTCTAATTAAAAGGGATTCTTCTTCCCTGCTAAAGTTACTTGTTCTCTTAGGTGCACTCATTTTTCAAATAAATCCACTACTACGAAGAGAAAGAATCAGCAGCAATTATATTTTTAATAAATATAACATAGGAAAGATAATGAAGCAATTATATACCTACCCGCTCTCCTGCAGATGTTGCGATATATTTATAGTCGAGAATAACAAGCTAACTTCAAAAAATCGCCAAAAAATGATTCCAGATTGAACCTATCGCTTCGGCCTATAAGTAAAAGCAGTGAGTGAAGTAGGGTTATGACTTCGGTCAAAATCACGTCAAAATGACATTATTGACAAGTCTTATCATTCCGTGCCTAATAACATAGTGCTTATGGTATTACCAACTGCTGCATATTTGAGGTTCAGTGGAACCGAGCTTGACTGACAGATGAACAACGCACATGCATTTGAACTAAGTTCATATTTTAACTGGAGTTCAGGTGATCTACAGTTTAACCGAACGTTGAACAACCGGCCC